GACCCGCAACAGTTGCCCAATTCTAGGTCACCTACTTACGAGGTAAACAGACGCATCAGGTGAAACGTGCCCAAACGTTTCTATCTTGGCCGGGGATTAAATCCAGGTCCCTCGGTTGGGATTCGAGGACGTAGACCACTATGCTACAGAACCTCAATAGTGTTAGGGACAATTATATTAACATTGTTGTGTTGACGAAAATGGATTAATCCGGTTTCAAAAACCCATCAAAATCCGGATTCTAAAAAATATGTGATGGTATTAGGGGCGTTATGTAGGGTATTGGGAATTGTATGTGGTGTATTAGGGGCAGTATGTGGTGGTATTAGAGGTATGTGGTGGTATTAGAGGTATGTGGTGGTATTGGAGGTATGTGGTAGTATGCTGACGAAAGGTGAAGATCTGGCAAGGCGATAATGACGTCACACTAATGACGCAACAACAACGATGACGTCACACGCTGATATATTATGCTCACGAATTCTCACAATCATTTCCAGATAAAACACGAATGACAAGAGGAACCTGTTATCATACTATGATAACATAAATCTCCGACAATTTTAGATCTCTTACGACGATTCCAACCCGTTATCCTGTTAATAGTGACTTGATACAAACTGCGATCGTAGATATAAAATGGTTGAAACAGTTATCATATTCACTGTAACACTGGTTATCTTGGTTATCTAACGATGGTTCTAACCTGTTAAGGCGTTCACAGTGACTGTTCAAGACCTCTGGCTGTTGACGTAACTCCTGGGCCCCGCCATTGGTCACGGCAAACACGTGTTTTTTTGTGAATTACATCGTTACAAATCTGCCCGTGTCATTCGGTAGTTGCTTAAGCGCATACCGCGGCGTCGTACGTGATCGTGCATGTTCACGTACGTTCACTCGTTCCAGTGATCGTACGAGTTCACTCGTTTGAGCGAACAAGGTAAAGTAACTTTGAAGACTCAGCGAGTAATCTTGAGGTTATCTTGAGATGATTTCGGGGCTTTAGTGTCCCCGCGGCCCGGTCCTCGACCAGGCCTTCAACCCCAGGAAGCAGCCCGTGACAGCTGACAACTCCCAGGTACCTATTTACTGCTAGGTAAGAGGGGTATTCAGGGTGAAAGAAACTTTGCCCATTTGTTTCTGCCTCGTGCGGGAATCGAACCCGCGCCACAGAATTACGAGTCCTGCGCGCTATCCACCAGGCTACGAGCCTAGCGAGTAAGCGCTAATGTCAGTATGACTCATTGTAGAGGGATATGAGGACAGTGAATTGGGATGTGAGTGATTGGTATGTGGTGCCCAATCGCTTCGACCATCGGGAATCGAACTCCGACCCTGCTAGATACAAGGATGGACTAGATATTGACAGATTTTAGTAACGTATTTTCTCCAGTCCACTCAATATGGTGTGACATCGTTCCAAATTTTTGGTTTGCTAACGACTAACCATGATGTGTTAAGCAGACCACAACAGTCCCCTTTGTCACAGAAGAATAAAGGCAACTGATGAAGGTCTATTGACTCCCTATGAGGCAGTCCCTATTTATATTCACCGAAACTCATTCATATATATATAATATGTCTAGCCTACGCTTGAAACAATCCATCAATCTCAAGTCAACTATGCAACCCGGTAATTTGCTTCATGCATCAACTACCCTGTTTCCAGGCCTTTACACGAGGTCAGCAAAGGGTGACGTGACACTGGAAGCGTTGTAGATTCAAACTATTTAGAGCAGGGTGAACAGCGACATCAGGTGTAAGGCAACGATCGCAAGCGTCTCACCCTACCCTGAAATCGAACCCTGGACCAATCCATTATGAGGCAATTGAGCTTACTTCTGCTTTACAATTTATTTCATTAAATCATTTACTACCCATTATAATGCTTTATTTCCATAAGCAGATTGTGAGAAAACATTAAAGCAATGCAATGGAATCGAACTCGCGTCCCAGGAACGCGTGTTTGATCCTTTTGTATGACCTCAATATTTAAGGATAAAGTAAATATTGAATGCTATGACGGTTGAATTACGTGATTAGAGTCCCGCGCAAATTAGGGAAGGCGGGAAAAACCGTTGGGATTCAGGCGCGGGTTGAAGAAGCGCCCTCGTCTTCGGTATGTAAAGTCCCTTAACTTCGGTAAATAAGTCCCTTTTTATGAGGCTGATGCGGGTCTAAAACATTATTAGGTTTTGTTTGTAGAATCTCTTAATTGCTAATAACAATATTGAACAATTTTCTCACATGTTTAACACAATACCCGAAACGCTAAGCGTACTAGTGGCTTTAGGTATTGTATGTACTACCTCTATCTTTAAATCAAACAGAATGTTTGTACTGTAACTCTGCAACTATGTATGTACTTTTCCTAAATAAATTATTATTATTATTATTATTGTTATCTGATGAAGTGTATTTTAAAGAATGATATTTTAGCCTAGTATTCCTCTGTGAATTGTGCTGTGGTTCAGTGTGTACAACAGTGCGGTGGGTTTATTAACATCAAACAATGTAGAAATACATTCTCGGTGTGATATTAATTTGTTGTTTCTTCCAGAGCATTATTCACGAGATTGTGAGATTGTTAATGTATGATTTAAACACATTGATGGTGATTTATCTAGGGAAAGAAAACGGAAGTTAATGTGGAGTGGGGAGCATTAGACTATATTGCAAAAGTATTTGCTATCTGCAATGCAGTATATATATTTTTTTAAATATGTGACCGAATAAAAGATATATAGGTGGTGGTAGACCTTTAGGTGGTATATTTTATATATAAAATACACACACAGACACCCCGAGGTGACCATTAACAAGACAAGAAGAGGCTCCCTGCCTGTGGCACTATGAGGAAACATCCGGTGACTTATGCTCTATTATGCTCCCTCACGGGCTCACCATAGCCCGTGCTGCTTGGAACTTTTTGTTCCAGGTAGCAAATCTTTAACAACAACATATGCTTCCTCGTGACCCTTTATTCAGCATAAAACAGTGCTTGAAGACCGGAGAACTGCAGTGCCTGGTGCAGTGCCTGGTAGAATGCCTAGTTCCTTGGATCTCAGGTTAGTGGAGTCCCATATAACAGATCTGGCTCTATTCTGGGACCTATATTATTTCCCATGTCTCTAGAAGAGATAAAATCCAAGATAAAAATATGAGTTAATAACTCTGCAGGAGGAGTATTATAGGGTCAATATTGGTCCATGGAATAGTAACCATAGGCTTCAACCTCTGGATTCTGGTCACCACTAGAATGGTACAGTCTGGTAGAAAACGGTTCCTAGCTCATATAATTTATAATTGTTTTTTTATATATGATTTTATATATTTTTTATAATTATATATGATTTTATATATTTTTTATAATTATATATGATTTTATACAGGATTTCTCACAATATCGGTGATCTTAAACATGTATGAAGGGAAATAACTTCAGTATACACCAAGCTGACAAATTTATGATCAAATTTAACGAACCTGGACAAGGAACGTTCTGAAAAAAACATACACCACCTACATAAGACCAGAGTATGCAGCGTCAGCATGAATCCGGAACTACGAACAACAAAATAGACCCAAATTCACCGCAAGTTCAGTGATTCGCTACCAATTTTCAACCAGAATGAAGGATTATGAGATAGTGGAACTGAACGGAAGTGAACGGAAGTGAAACCATCAGTGGGAAGAAGAGAATCATCAGAGAGCAGAGGATGACGTAGGTGGATACGGGAAGCGTAGATGATTGTGGGAACTGTTTTTCCTCCAGTGTACGAGGAGTAGGAGGAGTAGGAGGAGTAGGAGGAGTAGGAGGAGAAGGAGTTGGAGTAGGAGGTGGTAGCGGGGACTAGCCTAGCGTGTAGACATGACGGGGCATATAACAATATCTGAAATCTTTGCTCCAGAAAACCACTATGTCTAGATGACGAGGGCCAGGAGCTGAGGCTTGTAATCCCTGCAATCACATCTAGGTATGATCTAGGTAACACGCACACACACGCGTGCGCACTCACACACACACATGCGCGTGTGTGACACACACACACACACACACACCTTCTCACAACTAAATTGGAGAAGGTTCAGAGGTTTGCCACCAGACTAGTGCCCGAATTGATGGGTATGGACTATCAGGAAAGACTACGGGAATTAAACCTTGCGTCCCTGGAAGAAGGGAGAGTTAGGTGGGACATGATCACCACATACAAGATTCTCAAAGGAATTGATAGGGTAGACAAAGACAGTTTATTTAAAACAAGGGGTACACGCACAAGGGGATACAGGTGGAAATTGAGTGCCCAAATGAGCCACAGAGATATTAGAAAGAATTTTGTTAGTGTCAGAGTGGTTGACAGTGATGTGGTGGAGGCTGACTCCATACACAGTTTCAAGTGTAAATATGACAGAGCCCAATAGGCTCAGGAACCTGTACATTAGTTGATTGACGGTTGAGAGGCGGGACCAAAGAACCAGAGCTCAACCCTCGCAAGCACTACTAGGTGAGTACACACACACACACACACACACACACACCCACACACACACACACACACCCACACACACACACACACACACACACACACACACACACACACACACACACACACACACACACACACACACACACACACACACACACACACACACACACACACACACACACACACACACACACACCCACACACCCACACACACACACACACACCCACACCCACACCCACACACCCCCCCCCACACACACACACACCCACACACCCACACACACACCCACACCCCCCCCCCCCACACACACACCCACACACCCCCCCCCCCCCACACACACACACACCACACCCACACACACCCCACACCCACACACACACCCACACACCCCCCCCACACACACACACCCCCCCACACACACACACACCCACACACACCACACACACACACACACACACACACACACACACACACACCCCCACACCCCCACACACACACACGCACGTGCAATAGCTCCCATGATGAAACTGGTCACATCCAACTCAGCACTATCACCAGACGACATCACGGAGAGAGGAAGATGATGGTCGACATATATATACCAAGACAGCCTTCTCTTCCTCAGTCTCAAGCCAAGGATCACCCACATAAGGAAAGGTAACTAACTAGCCTCATAACGCACAACAACCAGCAAGAGGAATATAATATTGACCTTGAGTGCGTCTCAATGGAATTAGTGATCACTGACGTGCGTTTTATTCTGAAACTTGTCTTGCATTGATTGTGATTTAATCATTTCCTTGAAGGATTTTGCAACATAAGTTGAGTCTCATCCTTTTGGATCATCGGAGAATCGAACTCAGGCCTCCAAAATAGACTATTGATCTACCAACCAAGCCATGGATGGTCATAATATTGTTGCTCCCCCCCAAGCTAATGTGGTACGCATCTTGTCGGGTTTATAATATCTTCATTTAGACTTCTGACATTTAGTTTTTTTATATCAAGTGTTTTCGAAGTTGATTTGCTCCGTCTGGGTTTTAGACTCAAATTTAATTTGCATTAAATTTCTGCGACCTCTCACTGGACATGAGAGAAGATGGTGACTGGAGCTCACGTTTCCTGTGTCAGGACCTGTGAGGGAGCTGAGAGTTCTCATTTTTTGATTTAGATAAGCGACAGATGTACTTTGTCCAGTCGTGTGATAGCTGACTTCGACTGGTCAGACAGTGCTTTTTGTCGGGTCGACTTTTGACCCCTGGCGGTCAAAGTGGTTGGGAACTGTTTGATCAATCCGCTCTCATATTCCAGCTCCTTGTCCTCATCCCAGCTCCTTGTCCTCATACTCAACACCTTGTCTTCATATCCCAGCACCTTTTCCTTGCTCTCATATCCTAGCAACTTGTCCTCATATTCCTTCAAAGTATGGTCATACTAGCTTAGTATGCTTCCGCTTTACTATGGTCATACTATGCTTAGTCAGCATACTTTACGGTCATACTATGCTTAGTCCAGCTTCCTCTTCAGCTTAATATTAAAGATCTGGACACCTACATCTACAATTTCCACCAAACATCCACCTACCAATATAAGATCAGAGCCCACTTGCACTCACTTACATTCTACAACACCACTTGGTGCGTTCCAAACCTTTGCCTACACACATAGACACTGATAAAGCGAAAACAAAACGGGATAAAACAGGAATAATCAATTGTTTACTTCTCGTGTTATGGTTCATCAGCTGTTGCATCAGCTGTTTTATCCGGACGTTTGCCGGTAAATTTTCCGTGGAAAGAAAATAAACCGTTTTCTGTCACGTTCATTATTACAGAGAACGGGGATTGAATCAACCTTCCCTGTAGTGCAGTAGTCTACGTCCGCGACTCACAACCGAAGGAAATGGTTTCCGAGCAGGACAGAAACAGCTGGACACGTTTTTCTTTTACCCGATGCCTCTGCTTACCTAATACGTACCCGGGAGTTAGGCAACTGGTGTGGGATGCATTCCCACTAGGTCAGGAGTTGACCTAGTGCGGACAGCCATGGCTAGGTCTAACTAAAGGCTTCTTCACAACCCGGTAAAGTGATGAGTTTCTTAAATTCCACAAAAGCCCCTTAATTTGGATGCTCATATCAACAGCGTTCCCCAATAGAGCTCAACTATGCTTCTGTGTCATGTTGAGTCTGGGCCAGCGAGGGTGTGTGATTTGTAAGGATTAAAATGGATTTTCTGGATATTTGCATTTAATTTCTGGATATTTTTCACTTATTTTTTGGATATTTTCACTTTTCTGGATATTTTCACTTATTTTCTGGATACTTTTACTTTATTTTCTGGATATTTTCACTTATTTTCTGGATATTTTTCACTTATTTTCTGGATATTTTCACTTATTTTCTGGATATTTTCACTTATTTTCTGGATATTTTCACTTATTTTCTGGATATTTTTACTTATTTTCTATATATTTTTACTTATTTTCTGGATATTTTCACTTATTTTCTGGATATTTTTTACTTATTTTCTGGATATTTTTACTTATTTTCTGGGTATTTTAATTCATTTTCTGGATATTTTCACTTATTTTCTGGATACTTTTACTTATTTTCTGGACATTTTCAATTTTCTGGATATTTTAAACTATTTTCTGGATATTTTCACTTATTTATGGGATATTTTCAATTATTTTCTGGATATTTTAAATTTTCTGGATATTTTAAATTATTTTCTGGATATTTTCAGATTTTTCAAATAAATGTTCTGGAAAATTTCATCATTTTTCTATAGATGATGGGAATGAGTGGACGCGTGGTTGTGGTGGTGGTGGTGGTGGTGTTGGCCGTGGCAACTGACGCCACTTTCCGCAGACGGCGCCGGCCCATGCCCTGTTACCCAAAGACCCAATACGTTACGGAGTACCTGACGGAGACCCAAGCGGTGAGTACCTGGGCCGGTCCACCTGTACGGTCTACTGGGGACAGGTATATCTGGTCAGTATTAGGCTAGGTCTAGTAGGTCAGTATTAGGCTTGGTCTAGAAAGTCAGTATTAGGCTTGGTCTAGTAGGTCAGTATTAGGCTTGGTCTAGTAGGTCAGTATTAGGCTTGGTCTAGTAAGTCAGTATTAGGCTTGGTCTAGTAGGTCAGTATTAGGCTTGGTCTAGTAGGTCAGTATTAGGCTTGGTCTAGTAGGTCAGTATTAGGCTTGGTCTAGTAAGTCAGTATTAGGCTTGGTCTAGTAGGTCAGTATTAGGTTTGGTCTAATAGGTCAGTATTAGGCTTGGTCTAGTAGGTCAGTATTAGGCTTGGTCTAGTAGGTCAGTATTAGGTTTGGTCTAGTAGGTCAGTATTAGGCTTGGTCTAGTAGGTCAGTATTAGGTTTGGTCTAGTAGGTCAGTATTAGGCTTGGTCTAGTAGGTCAGTATTAGGCTTGGTCTAGTAAGTCAGTATTAGGCTTGGTCTAGTAGGTCAGTATTAGGTTTGGTCTAGTAGGTCAGTATTAGGCTTGGTCTAGTAGGTCAGTATTAGATCTGGGACCAGATTCACGAAGCAGTTACGCAAGTACTTACGAACGTGTAAATCTTTTCTCAATCTTTGACGGCTTTGGTTACATTTATTAAACAGTTTACAAGCATGAAAACTTGCCAATCAACTGTTGTTATTGTTATAAACAGCCTCCTGGTGCTTCGGAGCTCATTAACTGTTTAATAATTGTAAACAAAGCCGCCAAAGATTGAGAAAATGTGGACAGGTTCGTAAGTGCTTCCGTAACTGCTTCGTGAATCTGGCTCTTGGTGAAATAGGTCAGTATTAGGCTTGGTCTAGTAGGTCAGTATTATGCTTGGTCTAGGTCACCAGGTCTAGCTGGTCAATACTGTGTCAGGTCACCACTAAGACAGATTCCTATTAGATAAAACCTCTAGGAATAACATTCTAGTTCACTCTGTGCTTCTCGATAGATGAACAGTCTCATTAAAATAATCATCTCATAGATGTTCCATCTATTGTATCATGCCTTTTTTTCTATTGTAAATTTTGTATATCTCTTCTCAGGTACCAATGTATACCACGGTGTACAAGGAACAAATCGTCCCTACCACACTCTACGAAACGCAGTACCAAACCCAGTACGCGACGCAGTACCAGACAGAATACGTACCAAAGTACTTTACAGAAACCCTCTACACCACACAGTACCAGTACGTGACGAAGTACCAGACCCAGTTCCAGACCCAGTACCAAACCCAGTACGTCACATCAACGCAGTACACTCCCAAATACGTCACAGAGACCCAGTACCAGACCCAGTATGTGACCACTACCTTGTACCAGACGGAGTACACCACTTCCTACGCCACCCAGTACGTAACAACCACTCAGGTACAGTACCAAACACAGTACCAGACCCAGGTGGTACCAGAGTACGTCACCGTAACCCAGCTCCAAGCCAGCTACAAGACCGTCTGTCCCAAGCCAAACTACTACGACTACTAAATATTCTTTGTTTTGTCCATTAAATTCCGAATATTCTCTTAATTTTGTTGTTGTTACCCATTAAATGCTGAATATTCTCTCCATTTTCTTTTTTTATCCATTCAATTATGAAGAATCCCAATACGTGATTCATACATCTACATTTGGTTATACACATAACTTGATGCTCTTGTTAATTTCTGCCTTATAGACAACAATGCGTTGGTTATCAAAAAGATTAAATTTGATTAAATTATTATTTAGCAATTTAATAAATAGAAAACATTGATCAGTGTTTTAATTATATAGAACCTTGAAGCAAATGGAAATTTGATTTAAATTGTGTATTTTAAAGAGATAAATGAATTAGTTTAATACCTTAGGTATATCTTGCAATAATTTTTTAATAGTTTATCTAGTGATAATTTGTATTGTATTACTGACCTAACTTAGGAAAGTAGTGCAATATGAGAGAGGAACGTTTCTGTGTGGTTAGAGGAAGATAAGTGTGTGGGGGAAGGTGGTGATGAAGAGTATTGTGCGCCCCTCCAGTGTGTGGGAGGGGGTACTCAGCTAGTTGTGCTTGCAGGGTCGAGCTTCAGCTCTTAAGCCCCGCCTTTCGACTATCGGTAGTACAATGCAGTGACTCACTCGTTTCTTGTATCATATTAGCAATTTATATCTGCCCGAAACGCTGCGCGTACTAGTGGCTTTACAAGACTGTAATTACCATTTTATGTATCCTCACATTCCCAATGTACCTTCTTGTATATGCATAAATAAATAAATATATACATATACAGTTGTGTATCGAATTTGCTTCAATACACAACTGATTAACGTGTCTGAAATTAAAAAAGTTCTGTGACTTCTGTGTTTCCAGTTCCTAGTTATGTCCTTCTGTTCTACCGTTCCTTAAAATGTAAATCCTCCCTTAGTATCTTATATATCGTTATCATGTCCGCCTTATTCCTACTTCCATCTAGTGTAGCGAGGTCCAGTTTCATCAGGCTTTCTTCATATTTCAGTCCCCTTAGCTCAGGAACGAGCCTTGTTGCACATTGTTGGACTTTTTCTAGTTTGGTTTTGTAGTTCTTTAAAGCAGGGGTTCCATGCCAGGGCTGCATACTCAACAGTCTCTCAATGGATTTACAGCGCTCGGAAGGGCTCTTGTCCAAGTTGGTGAAGGATAACCAGACGTTTGCCAGTATTGGGGAGCCGGTCGGCCGAGCGGACAGCACACTGGACTTGTGATCCTGTGGTCCTGGGTTCGATCCCAGGCGCCGGCGAGAATCAATGGGCAGAGTTTCTTTCACCCTATGCCCCTGTTACCTAGCAGTAAAATAGGTACCTGGGTGTTAGTCAGCTGTCACGGGCTGCTTCCTGGGGGTGGAGGCCTGGTCGAGGACCGGGCCGCGGGGACACTAAAAAGCCCCTAAATCATCTCAAGATAACCTCAAGAAGATGGCATATTCTGCCCTCGTTATCCTGCTGATGTGTGCCTCTGGCGTTACATCTCCAGTTATGTCCACTCCCAAGTCTTTCTTCTTATTTAAGAAAGTGAAAGTTGCCTTACTTCATCTTGTACTGTATTTGAGGTCTTGTTGCTCCACTTTCTTAGTAACCTTGCACTTATCAGGGTTAAAGTCAAGTAGCCATTTCTCAGACCCTCTCTGAGATTCTCCTGTTTAGATTACGATAAATTGCAGTCTTCCTACGTTTTGATTCGTCATTTTAACTTGACATCAGCAGACATTGATAACAGTAAGTTTATTTCCCGTGTTTGATCGTTTACGTATATTAGGAACAGGCTGGGCCCCTAGCACCGACCCCTGAGGTACTCCACTCATTACCACTCTCTCCATTTTGATGGTTCTCCTCTTATGAAGACTCTTTGTCTTCTTCCTGAATGGTACTCCTTCGCCCACTATAATACGTTTCCCGATACACCAGACTGTTTTCGAGTTGTATTGGAATCGCTTGTGAAGAATAGTGTAAATCTTTCGGCCAGTCCAGGAAAATGCAGTGTTCCCAGCCATCTACCGTTTCCTGTCTTCTTGTCATAGAACTCTAATAAGCTGTCCGAGCAGGATGTCCCCGTGTTGATGCTTGAAAATAACATTGATACACAAGTGTTCTACGAGCCTCCTTGTAAACAGCCTTACCTTACCTTGAGGTTACCTTGAGGTGCTTCCGGGGCTTAGCGTCCCCGCGGCCCGGTCGTCGACCAGGCCTCCTGGTTGCTGGACTGATCAACCAGGCTGTTAGACGCGGCTGCTCGCAGCCTGACGTATGAGTCACAGCCTGGTTGATCAGGTATCCTTTGGAGGTGCTTATCCAGTTCTCTCTTGAACACTGTGAGGGGTCGGCCAGTTATGCCCCTTATGTGTAGTGGAAGCGTGTTAAACAGTCTCGGGCCTCTGATGTTGATAGTTCTCTCTTGAACACTGTGAGGGGTCGGCCAGTTATGTCCCTTATGTGTAGTGGAAACGTGTTGAACAGTCTCGGGCCTCTGATGTTGATAGTTCTCTCTTGAACACTGTGAGGGGTCGGCCAGTTATGTCCCTTATGTGTAGTGGAAGCGTGTTGAACAGTCTCGGGCCTCTGATGTTGATAGTTCTCTCTTGAACACTGTGAGGGGTCGGCCAGTTATGCCCCTTATGTGTAGTGGAAACGTGTTGAACAGTCTCGGGCCTCTGATGTTGATAGTTCTCTCTTGAACACTGTGAGGGGTCGGCCAGTTATGTCCCTTATGTGTAGTGGAAGCGTGTTGAACAGTCTCGGGCCTCTGATGTCTCAAACTCTCTAATATCTAACAGGGAATACTTGTTAGTGATGCTGGTTTGTAGTTAGGTGGGTCCTCTCTTCCTCTTGTGTGTAGCAACCACATTGAAGACGAGGTCAAGGAGTCCACACAGTGCTTCGGCTGCCTCTTTTAGGATCCATGTGAGAGCTTGTCAGGGCCTGCAGCATTCATCACATCCAGCTCCTCTAGTTGTTTCTTTACTTCCTCTGGTGTTACGTCTGTTTCAATTAGTCTTTCTTCTGGTGGTGTCTGCTCTATTTAAATCTGTGGATCTTGGGACAGTTCTGGTTCTATCTTAATAGATTAGTTTGGGCTGATCCTTTGCTTTGGAAGCTATATCATTCTCATACTGTTTTTCGACTGCTGTTCGAATTTCTGTGCATTCTTTCCTCTCTCTTCTATATAAATAAATAAATAAATAAATAAATGTTTATTTAGGTAAGGTACATACATACAAGAAATTTTTACAAAGATTGGTTGACTTATAGGTAGAGCTAGTACATACAATGCCTAAAGCCACTATTACGCAAAGCGTTTCGGGCAACATATATGGTGTGGTTCACTGTTCTGTGCTCCATGTACTTCCCAGCCAGTGTATGTATGTATGTGCGTGTGTGGATGTGTATGTTTACTCACATGTTTGTGTCTGCATGATCGAGCCTCAGCTTTTGGATATATGCACTGACTCCCAACCTGTCATATCTACTTTTGAAATTATAAATGGAATTCGCTTCTTCGGCTTCCTCAGTCGGTTCCATTTCCTCTACTACTTTTATGCTAAAGGAAATCTTCCTAACATCTCTGACTCGGTTGATTCTCAAACTTCCATTCATTCAAACTTCTCGTTCTCTTTTTCCACTTTGTCAATCTCCCGTGTCTTCTCTCTCCATTTCTCTAGCGACATTAGGTCTAGTTCATTCAGGCTTTCTTCATACCCCATTCATTGCAAATTCTGGGACAAGACTTGTTGCAAACCTATGTACTGTTTCAGGTCTTCTTATGTGTTTATTGAGGTGGGATCTCCATGATAGGAGTTGCATACTCTCGGACTGGTCTCGCGTAAGTGTACAATGATCTGAATTCCTCCATATGTAAGGTTCCTGAATGATGATTTGATGTTCATTAGTTGAGTGTATGCATACGTTATTCTGTTTATATACGTCTCTGGGGTTATACTAGGCGTTACTTGCAGGTCTTGTTCGTATTAAGTCGTTTCAGTGAGGTAGTTTCCCCTTCACTGTGTACTGCCCTGCTGTCCTAGTGTCATCTCTTCCTATTTTCTTCACCTTACACTTGACGGCCTTGAAATCTAGTTGCCACTTCTTGAACCCATAACATGTCTAGGTCTTCCTGGAATGTTTTTTTTGAATATGGGCTTTAAGCAGGAGCCGCATACTCCAATACTCGTCTCACGTAAGTTGTGTATGGTGTTCTAAAATTCTGCTTGTTCAGATTTTCTGATAAGTACTCGGATGTTTGCCAGCGCGTACTAGTGGCTTTACAAGATTGTAAATACTATGCTATGTATTCTCACAAACCCAATGTACCTTCTTGTATAAATAAATAAATAAATAAATAAATAAATAAATAAATAAATAAATAAAATAAATAAAGTGTTGCTCATGCTACTGATGTTATTCTGTTGTTATATGTCTCCGGAGATAGGCTTTCTGTTCTATTTACGCCCAAATCTATTTTTTTTTAAAGATTCCTGGATTTTCCTTAGTTTCATTGCATACTGTTCTTGCGGTCTTCCAACACTCAATACCTCACATTTACTGGGCTGAAGTCGACTAGCCATCTTTCATATCACTCATTTTGTCCAAGTCACCTTACATCGATCTACAGTCCTTCCCTGTCTTGAGTCTTTTAGGGAGTCTTGCATCGCCCGCAAACATGGACATATGTTCGTTTAATTAACAATAAACTTTCGTAAATAAAATAAAAGAGGGGAATCTAGAAGCTAAGCGCATGCATTAGATTCGAGGATCCCCAAACCTGTAGATAGGTGTACTGTGATTCCAGTATTGCTCAAATCTTTGAAATGAGTATATTTTAAAATTGAAACTTACAATTTAAAAATGTGATTCTGGACTATTTTTCTTTGTATAGCCAAACTCTCGCATAAAGCCACAGATTTCGCAACATTACTGCAATCAAGATAATATATATATTCCATGTGTTGAGAATTCCTGTAGTCAGCCCTTCAATTTTTTTTATAAAAACAAGTATATCTGAAATCGAGAGCTGCATGAGAGACAAGCATGACGCCACTGAAATATGCGTCATGACTC